AAGAGTCCCCTCCCCTCCCCCTTACTTTTATATCTTTAAAATGTTGGCAACTTCATCATTCTGTGTAACTCAGAAGCCACAGGGCCCACAATTGTGGATATGATGCCCTTTCAAATCCCAATTAAATTGTATTTCTATTTTAAGTAAACATTTAAAACATGTACAATTATTTATTTATTTTTTTTACCATGCATTGGAATTTCTTCATTTAAAAAAGGTTTAGCAGGGCACTCCCTAAATGGAAGTGACCAAGCCACTTCCAGCCTCCAGGAGGCCCACCAGGCTTTCAGGATGCCTGTGTCAGCACAGTCTTCTCTTCCCAGATTAACCAGTCTGGTTGGGTCAACCAGATCAACCCTACGTCTGGATTTCCACCATTTCCATTCTATGTCCTGGTGTTCTACAGTTTCTAAAACAGATCTATATTTGTGGCAGACAACAACTCTAGTTGGTTCAAATATCCTTTGCTTGTTAATCCTCCATGTCAACTTTCTACCCTCGACTCCTCACCGGTCGGTGACTCTTACCCAACCAGGACCCGAAGGGTAGAAGGGGCAGTTCAGTAAGAACCGGGTCAACAGAGCAACCTGGTTTGACATCTGGACATAAAGGAATGACAGTCATTACATGAAGGGCGTATTTGCTCTGTGCCAGGCACAACACTAAGGACTTTGCCTGCACTATCTGATTTATTTCCCACTTATGTACCAATGTTACCTCCCTTTTATAGACGAAGTAACTTAAGCTCAGAGACTTTAACACTTATGTAAGATCACACAGCTGGAGATTGCTGGAACCTGGGTTTGGATCCAGGGCTGTCTGATTCCAAAAGTGTTTGCTTTTAACCACAGCAGGAAAAGAGGCCACACAAGCACCTCGGCTCAGGGGGACTAGAGTTGAGATGCAGCTGACTTAGAGCTCTACCTCCACCGGCCCAGCCCATGGCAACGACGGGAGGTTTTCAGGAGACATGGTTTACCTGCTTTCTGCATTCGTGTGAACTTGAGGGTTTTGTCTGACCTTATTTTACTCAGGGTCCTGAAACCCATCCGGAACCATTTCTCAGATGTCTTCAGTCCCACCCCGAAGACGGAAGTAAAGAGCTGAAAGGGAAGGAGAGGCATGCCTTCAGTTCTAAAATAGTCATAACAACGAATGATACTTTTCAAGGTCAAGGGATTAAGAAAAAGTGTAAGCAAATCTCTGACCCAGTTTCTCCTCAATATGACAAGTAAGTGGGTGATAGTAATTTTTTAGAGAAATTTTTGTTTCAGGGGGGTCCTCTCCTAATAAATGAAGTAGACACGAGGAGGCAGGTTCTGGCATCTGCATAGGGTTCCCCAGTAATTGGATGACGGCATGGCCTGTGCTGTCCACCTGTGACAACAGCTATCCCTGTCGGCATTTCCCTTTGCCAAGGACCCCTCATACACACTCATGCTCTGCAGATTTATCCTCACACTTTAAAGAGGGATGCGCATGAAGGTTATATAAATTCTCCACCATCACACAGCTGGTAAGTGGCAGAGCCCGGGCTGAAACCCGGTCTGTCTGCCCTCCAAGCCCGGGCTCCTGCCCACCACCACCTTGTGGGCCTGTGCATCCCTGCTGCACTGAGGGATAAAAAAAAAGGGATTGGCATCTCTCAATTCCAAGGTGAGGAGCATTGGGAGGTAATAAAGCTGCTCCAAAGTAGATAAGGATGCAGGAAGGAGCTTGTCAACACAGGTTTGCCCTTTAAGAGCAGGTTTGTTTCTTTCCATGGTTGTCGTGTCCCTGTGGTATTTGTGCACGTGAGTGACAGACTCCTGGAAGGTAAGGTAATTTGTATCTCATCATAGCATGGCAATAAGCTCCAGCACCTATACTTATTTAGGCATTTGCTTCCTAGACCATTGGTATGGACTGAATTGCAGCAACCCCCCACCCCCCAAAAAATCTATAATAATAAAGCATAATATGCTAATTAGACTGGACGTCCTTCAGGACGACCTTCCAGACGAAGCCGAGACTGCAGCTGCGGGATCAAAGCAGCTGCCACAGCTGCGAAGGCCTACTCTTGCACGAATTTCATGCATTGGGCCTCTAGTATATATATTCACATGCTGAAGTCCTACCCTCCAGTGTGATGGTATTTGGAGATGGGGCCTTTGGGAAGTGATTAGCTTTAGGTGAGGTCATGAGGGTAGAGCCATAGTGATGGGATTGGTGCCCTTATAAGAAGAGACACCAGAGAGCTTGTTCTCTATCTCATGTGCGGGCACACTGAGAAGGAAGCCACCTGCAAGCCAAGAAGAGAGTCCTAACCAGAACCCAACCATGCCGGCATTCTGATTTCAGAATTCCAGCCTCAGAACTGTGAGAAAAAAATATTTGTTAGTTAAGCCACCCAGGCCATGGCATTTTGTTAGGGCAGCCCAGGCTGACTCATACAACCGCCTAGAATGAGTAATAGGATTAACTGAAAAACCATTTTTGAGAAATATGTGTAAAATCACTTACTTTGAAGGACTGATATCGCTCATCATTTAACACAGCTTTAACTTCAGAACTTTCTCCATCTTCAATAATTTCCTGCATAGACATTTGGAAAATATTTTAAATTAGTGATGTTGGACAATCACAGTCTAAGATGCTGAAATCGCTCAACTTTTCATAAAATGCACACCCGTTGTGTGGAGGATGTTCCCCTAGCTTACCCAGAGAAAACAAGACATTTCCCTATAATCTTGAAAATCCCAGGTCATATATTTCCAAGTGTCACTTTACAATTCTCAGGAAAAAAGGTACAGAATGATTCGGGTCCAAATCTATGGAACACCTAACCAGAATATTCACTGACCAAAGGTGTCTAAATATTTGTGATAATTTTCTTTTCAATGGATACGAACTTGCTGAAATAAAGATTTTTTTCATCTGAGTGGATTAGGTTCAGACCCATTGAAAAGCCAACACGAAGTAGAGCCTTTATGATGTCTGGCTCAGAGCCACCCACCCTCCTCTAGATAGAGTTAGGGTTATTTACCTTGAATAATTGACCTTGCACTTGACTATACTGAAACATACTCCTGGGTGACCGACCTGCCTTGCTGGGAATCCTTCCACATCATTAAATAAGTAGGCACCTACCCCTGGCTCTCTATTTGAAACTTACACACAGGATGCGGAATCAACTCCACTGCCTGTTACACCCACCACCATCCTGGAGGGTGACGTTCCCTGATGGAACTGAGGCCCTTCACCCAGCCTGTGTCTGAAGTCAGACCATCCCCTGCTGTCGAGCTTTGAAGTCACTTGAGTCTTTCACTGTGATCTGTACTAATAAAAGGGTAACATGCTAATTATACCAGATAGACCAGACGTTTTCTGGACAAAGCCACAGTGGCTGCAAGGGCTGAGGGCAGGCCGGCAGTGGCAGCAGCAGCGGGGTGATGGGGGCAGCGCCTTCCCCTGATCAGCCCAGTCGCCTCCCACTGAGGGGGAGCGGGCTTAAGCCATCAGTAGGACATCCCGGAGGGCTCCTGGACTGTGAGGGGGTAGGCTGGGCTGAGGGACCCCACCTCCCAGTGCACGAATTTTCATGCACCAGGCCTCTAGTTAATAATAATACAGGAGAGTCCTTTTTTTTTTTTTTTTCACTTAGCTGGCCCCACATAGCTCCAGCTGTCATAATATTGGTTATAGATTTTATCTATCTATCTATCTCTCTATCATTCTATCTATCTATCTATCTATCATCTATCATCCATCTAATCTATCTAGAGAAAGTAAATAAGTCATGAATATATCTACATAGTTGACAGGAAAATCTATTCTCTCTCTCTCTTTCTCTCTCTCTCTCTCTCTCTCTTTCTCTCTCTCACTTTCTTCCCACCTACTTACCTATTAGAGGTGTGACAAATCACATTTCACCCTTACCTCTATGATACTCTTCACTCTGTCCCCCAAGCAGGGAATTCCTTCTGTGTCCTTCATACTGACAATGGTGAATGGCAGCGACTTAAGTACAGAAGCCGCTCTCATGAATGCCAGATAGGAGCCTTCGTTTTCTCTAAACTCACAATTTTCAGCCAGGACCTCAAAGGCATCCTGAAGAATAAAACCAGAGGAGTAAAACACGGTCTTGTTTCCCAGCCCCGTGGTCACCTGCAAATGTCTCTTGCTCTCCTTGAAGTATTGGAACCCCGCCTGCCCTTTTCCTGAAGGTCAGGATTGGGGCTTCAGTACCTTTGCACCCCTCTCCTGTTTGATAAGAAGACAGGCCTCAGTGTGTTGTGGAAGGAAAGCTTGAGTTCACTGCCATTAGGCATTCAGAAATGATTTGACTGAAGCATGCTCTCATGCTCACTGCATCCTACCAGTCATTACTTGGAGTGTCTGATCCTTCCTTCTTTGCTTGCTGACTTTCCCACCAGCCTGAGGCCAGGATTCTGCCTCGATCACTGGGCATCCCCATCTCTTGGCTTGTATATAAAGCACAGTCAGCACTGACACAGGCTGACTGAATGACGGGTGTAACCACAGGTGGCCCAGGCTCCAGGCCGGGGTCATCTGAGGTGGAGTATGTTTGCACTTCTGGCGGAGGAGGAAGCAGCTGCAGCTGTGTGGCATCGTGCACATGGTGCCCATTTCCTGGTCCTCCTCGCACAGAAGTCTTCTGTTCACCATAGTGCTGCATGCTTTACCCACCTGACAACTGACTCGACGCTGGAGGACAAGCAGTTGTGGGCTTATTAGGCTCATTTGAACCGCAATTGCCAAACTTCAGGGCTGGATGGGGCTTTAGAGATAATCTAGCTACTTTCTAATTGAATGGAGAAGAAACTGGGGCTCAGAGAGAGAGGAATTGACTTCCCCGAGCTAGTTAACATCAGAGAAGCGAGAAGCGCTTTCGGTTTCCCAGCACAGGCTGTTAGTGCAGTATGGCTATTTCTATGCAATTTGCTCTTACTTTGTTTTGGACTAATCACCGTATTTGCTTTTTCAGAATATTTGCCTTTGACAAGTGTGGTGCCCAATAATGGTGACTCTTAATAAATAGTAATTCTATTATTGTTAAAGAGTATAATCCAAATAGATTTGTCCATTTCCGTGATAGAAGTAGATCCATTCTTGATAGAGAGAAAACCAGAGATTAGGGTGTGTATGTCGGGGGGAGGGGTGGTGGTGAGTGTGGGAAAAACTTTCCTAGCTTTTCAGAAGAATTCACAGTTCGTAGACTCATGGGAAGGACCTGCAGGCCTCATCGGCCCTGGGTGCTGTGAAGCCTGGTTACCGTGAATATGTGGTTACGGTTGTTTAAAGTGGTTCTCCTCTGACACGCGTACGGAGAGATCTTTCTTCCAGCAAGTGGTGGAGTCTCCCGGGGCTCTGGGTTGGGGCCACCCGAATAGTCTCTTCTCACCTAAACAATTGCATGACATTCATGAGTAATGACAATCAAGAATAATAATCATAGACGTGCATGAAGAAAACATTGGAAGCAGTTTGATGGCAATTATCTCTGGAAAGAGGATAAAATTTTAGGAGAGTCAAATTTTATATTATACAAATCTCTACTATTTGAATTTTTTATAATTAACATGCATTATATTTCCAATCAGGAAAAAAAACAAACATGAAAAAGGACCATCAGTGAAATACCATTTTCTTTTTCTTATAATTTTTTTTTCTTTATTGATTAAGGTATTATATATGTGTCCTATCCCCCCACCCCCCACTCATGCCCTCACCCCCCTGGTGTCAGTGTCCCATTTTCCTTTCCTATGAGAAGGAAACGAACCTTCTTCGTGAGGGTTCTAGCATGATGGTGAAGGATTTTGAATTGAGAGCTTAACTTTCTTCATCTTTTGCTTTATGAATGGCCATAGGAAGAAAAAAATAGAAACCCTCAACTTCTCTGGCCCCAGAACATCAAGGCTTCAATATTTTGAATTTGTGTGTGTACCTCTTCGTAAAAATGGCTACCATTTAGTAAGGTCGGGCTTTGTGTTAAGTGTTTTGCTTGTCTGTTATTCTAATCCTCAGACCCGTCCTTTGAAGTGGGTGCTATTGTTCTCCCCTGTTATAGAGGAGGAACCTGAAGCTCAGAAAAGCTGAGTGACTTGCCCAAGGCCACCCGGGGCGTGAGCAGAGAACCCAGGTCCGTTGATTCTGTAGCCCATGTTCCCAACCATCAAGCCAAGGACAGTGGAAATCACAACCAGGACACTTACGACGAGCTGGTGTTGTCCTGTCGTCGCCACTGGCTTTCCTGCGCTCATACATTCTATCAGCCAGGAGACGTCGAGAAGTTCTGGCTGTGAGCTGGCTCTTACCTTCTGCACCTGCAGCCACTCCAGGACATCGGAGCCTGAGTTGTTTTCTGCCACAATGTGGGTGACAGAATCACTGCAGAAGGCAAGACAAATCACCAGCTGTGGGGACTTTCAGAATCAGGAGCTCTCCTCTCTCCTCAAGGTCCTCAGAGCATCCCCGCCAAAGGGCAGCCATAGAGATACAATAACACTTCCTAGGTAATGCCATCAGCCCACTGTCCCTGCTGCTGCCACATAGAACTAATGTTTTGGTATTTTATGTCCAATATCATATGAACTACAATAAGACTGCGATACAAATAGAATTGTCCCAGAAAGCCTGAAAGGACAGTTGCCATAGTTACACCCCAACATGGAGAAGCCACATTGAGGCTGCCAGGTTCTCTGAGCCCTGGGCTTTGCCTCAACCCGGGAGGGAGGAGCCCTGGGGCTCGTCTTCCAAATCCATACCCCTCACCAT